TCATATATGAGGTTTGGTGAATCAGGAGACTCATTAAGCTGTTAAAGATGCTTTTTTTTATGAAGAATTACTTTTCACCTCGAGAAAGATTTTTTTACTTCATGTCTGCAACCTTTGTTGACAATCCGAAAAATTTAGGATTGAACTGAGAAGTAGCCACCCTGCTACATTGCGAAGACTACTCACACGACCAACAATTTTAGACCACATCAAAATAACAATTTTCTTTCAACCAAAGCGGTTCATACTTGAATTACGGGATTTAACAAAAGTCCAATGTTTTTGCAGGGCCTTCAATTAATAATAATAGGACGATGGTCGGATGATGAGTATGGAAGATGCTCTATCCATGAGTCTAGGAACAAACTCAACTAATCTCCATACCCCAAAAATCTGTCTAAGCGCGTTTGAATATTATCCAAGCCCTTTCTCTTATTATTCCACGTGAACAGATCTCCCTTAAAAGAAATATAATAAAGATGGCAGTCTGTTAAGGTCAACTGAAATGATCGAGAGAAGCTTGATGTCGGAAAAACCCTCCATTGCCTTCTGAAAGCAAAATAGTTTCATTGAAGCCCCCTCCATAAAGCCAATGGTGATTTAATAAGGTGTCTAATATTCGAATTGAGTTTCAAGTGTGATGGCGATTCTCAACTTTTGTCTACCCATAAACTTCTGCAAAACGCCAACATCTATTTTCGTGATCTTCAATAATCGCATCAGTATTCCCTGACGGAAAGGATTTAATATCAACCTTCCACCAATCCGACCGCAACAACATAAGATCGCCACTGAAACATATACAATCCATCACAAATTACCAGTAAAATAAAAAAGGTTACAAATATTTGTTGCCTTTAAACCAAACAATCTAGTCACAGACAAAAAGACTAGATCGGGAGAAAAATTACACATTAGATTTGTAACGATTTCAATGTGAGAGGATTCCCCAGACCTCACACGTTCCCACAAAGGCAACTCATTGCGTTCTGCGTCTCTGCTGAGCAGAGGTCGCCGCTTCAATACCCGAACAAATATTTTCCAGCATTTCTTCATCATCATCCATCCTAGCCCGTTTACTAGGTCGCCAATTGGAGAATTTGATTTGTTTGGAATCGGTTTTCGCTTCTACCCCTACATTGGTTGCCATTTAAATTACTATTTGAAGTAGACTACGCTACAATGGTTTTAAACGTGGATAGCGCCATATCCGATTTTTGGCCCCTCTAAGCCCCTCATCCTTGCCAATAATAATGTCGTCATTGATCTGTTGCCCCAGCCTTTCGGTAGAATTATGAGCAACCTGACTTGACTCAGATTCTGTATCCTTTTCTAGAGATGCCTCTATTGGAAAGTTCCCCTTCCCCAATGCTAACACTAGGATCACTTGAATTTTGATGACTAGATGAATTAGATGAAAATGAATTTGTCCATCTCTACTTCCTTCATAACGTGGGAGGAATGACACGCAACCAATCTCCATATTTGCGGGTGAATTCATCGGAATGACTCTGCGACCTTGTCGAACACTCGCACATTCGGTGCCTAATTAGACTGCAAGTGAAGCAAAAATTCGAGAGCCTCATATTGGAAAAGTATAGTATTTGCACCCCATTACATTCCCCACCAAGCTCGTTGCTAATCTTGTTAGACATGCGTCCTAGTATTGTTTTGCTAGGGGAATAGGGTACCGTCAAAATCCAGCCGTTGTGTTTTTCTGCACGAAGTTGGTGATGCATTGTATTATCAATACTGTATATTGGCGGAGAATGGATAATTTTGAGAGTGTTATTACATAAAAAGAAAATTTGATAGAAATTGTGGGAAAAATCACGTCGGCCTAGTAGCGAAAGTTATCAAATGTTTTCCTAATTTCACTTTTTGTGTTTTATATAGATGCAAAATCTATCCACTCGATTTCCCTTCGTCCCCTCTCCTGGAAACGTCGAGCCTACTTCGTCCCCTTGAAATTGAACAAATTGCATCTCATATAGTGGGAAAGTCTTACCAGGTCAAATTTCATTGCACGGTTCTCTTCGCTCTGAACTTCTATGACTGAACTTCGCTTCGCTTCGTTCTTATGACCGAGACCTTTAATTACATCTATCCTCTACCTCCACACATCATTCCCTAGCTTACCGCTACTAGGAAGCGGGTGGAAAAGTTGCACACCTTTAGCTCATTTGTATTTGATTAGTGAGTGCTTCTTTAAAATGGTAATTTAAGGGAGATTGTGAATTTTGGGAGAATAGAATTTCATCTGGAATGCTAGAATTATAACTTGAAAAATTTTATAAATTTACCCTATTATTCGGATTTATTTTTTAAGCAAATGTGCAATTGCTTTTTTTTTTTGGGTGCAAGAGAATTGTGAAGCCGTGGTATTTATAGGCATAAAAGAATTGGGGGAAAGAAAATATAAATTATTGATACATATTGGGAAGTGTGATATAGATAAAATTGAATTAAATATATGTATATTAAAAAGAAAGAAAAAAGTTTGAATAAATAATTAACTAAAAAAATCAAGCCGAGTGCAATCAGCCTGTTGAATGGCAAAAGGCGGCCCACATTAAATGGATGCATCGCATCCATATTAATGGGCCCCCAAACGTTTAAATGGGTCCGCATTATTACGAACTAGTGAAAATCCCGTGCGATCACGGGGATCGTAATGTAAAGCATTTTTTCAAAATTTTATTTTTACAATGTATTAGCCCGTTGATCCGTCTATATTAATATAAATAATATTTTAACATATATATTTATTTTTTTAATACAAAAAATATAATATTTTTACATATTTTGGTTCATCATAATACTCAAATATTATTTTATTCAAAAGCTATTGTCGTATAATGTCAATATTATTTATAACATTTATAAAAGTGATATTTATTTTTTATATCATGATAAATATTTAATGTATATTAATATTATTTATTGATGTGATTAATTTAAAAATATAAAAGTAAATCTAATGTTTGTTAAGAATGTGATAGATCTCGATATTTTAGGAATAAATGTAGGATATATATGTACATATATATGATATGAATATCTTGAGATACAAAAGAAAATTTTATGTGATTTATTACCTTAATAAATTAGCCGCAATTATCTAAATTG